AACTGATATGCGCAACCTTCACTCGAGCAAAGGAGTTGTCGCTCGAGCGACCAGACACAACAAGTGACCTCGCTCGAGCGCAAGAAGCGTCGCTTGAGCGCAGAATGCATAGCTTCAAAAGTTTTACAGACGCACACGCCCGCTCGAGCGCAAGAAGCCTCGCTCGAGCGAAGAACTTCACCTTCCCAGAAATTCTGCATCTGGAAAAGAAACCTGAGAACTCTCAAATCTCGCTTGAGCGCAATAAACCTCACTCGAGCGAAGGAGCAAATTTCACAAGGCTCGCTTGAGCGAATAAGCCAAACTCTGGGCAACAACAATCTAAACCAACTAACAACCAACCTATCTCAAACACGCCCAACATATTCCAAAGCTCAAATTCAAAGAGTTAAAGGAGGAAAACAAGATATGGACACAATATTCAAGCACGGAACTCGAGTCCGGAATATAACAAAGGTTGGGTCAAAACCGAAATCGCTATATTTATTGTTGCCCAAACACTACACCATCAAAATTTATTTTGTACACTCCATCAGCTGGAGCAACCCAATGAACAAGTGGCGCAATGGATGAACTATCGCCCACTTGGCTATGCATTTGGCTGAAGTTATAAATAAGATCACATACTCACTGAACAATGTTCATGATAGATTGGTGCACCTTGTTAAAAATCAACTAATTATGAACAGACCACAAACCCTAGCAAAGAGCAAAAGACAGTCCCAAGCCAACATCATCCACTTAATTCTCAACCTCAATAATCTACTGTCGAAAAATCTAAATAAGTATGAGCATGGTCTCGAAGTTTCAATGGACTTAAAATCGAGTCATGTTGCGACGATAGCTATCTTTTAACTTTAAAATTATCCTTTATGATCGGTGTTGTTTGGTGTAGCTTATTGTAAGCTAAAAGCTGATAATCAGAAAGCAAAAACCAAAAATACTCATTTCTCAGCTTCTAAATAATCAATTTTTCGCAGCTTATTTAAACTATTTTTGCCTAAAAAATTGTAAGCAGAAGTTGCACCAAACAATCTGACACAGATTCCCAAATTAAAATAAGTTATAATCACCCCCTATAATCCACACTAAGCACCCCTATATTTTCAAAAAAAACTTAGTGATAAATCCAATCTAAGGAGAGTATAAGACAAGAAGTCTAGTGAATATTTTTTGTGATAATCAGAAAGCAAAAACCAAAAACACTCATTTCTCAGCTTCTAAATAATCAATTTTTCGCAGCTTATTTAAACTATTTTTGCCTAAAAAATTGTAAGTAGAAGTTGCACCAAACAATCTGACACAGATTCCCAAATTAAAATAAGTTATAATCACCCCCTATAATCCACACTAAGCACCCCTATATTTTCAAAAAAAACTTAGTGATAAATCCAATCTAAGGAGAGTATAAGACAAGAAGTCTAGTGAATATTTTTTGTTGGTGAAAGGTCCACAGTTTGTTAAATAATTTGGTGAAAAATCTTGAAGGATATTTTGTTTTCAATTTCACCTCATTGTCTTATTTTTTTTTATCTGTTTAACTTTTCATTATCTATCTATTTAAATTTATATCTATCTGTTCATTTTTTCCCTAAATTCTATCTATCTGTTTAATTTTTTCCTAAATTCTATCTTCTTGTTCAAATTTTCTTATCTGTTAAAACAACAATTTCTTATCTGTTACTCAAATTTGGAAAACCCATTTTTTCTATTTGTTTGAAATTCACAAATTAATTTTTTTTATCTGTTGGAATTATCCACCACTAACAATCAAATATTACACAAAAATTCACAAATTATTATTATCTATTCAAATTTTGAACAAATTTGTCTTATATTTGTTCAAAATTTGAATCAGATCTCACTTTATCTTTTCAAATTTTATCCTATATATGTTTCATCATCATCATCAACAACAACTAAAAAAATACAGATCCAGATCTACCACACAAACATGTACCATCACCATTCAAACCAAAAACAATCCATCAAAACAAACAAATCAAATCCAAAAATCAAGCTCCAAAAAGGTAACTAAAATCAAGCCAAAAATAGAGAAGACAAAGAGAGAAGAGATTAGATCTGGTTTGTTTTTGTGATCTCGATTTGACGATGATATCAATTGTTCTTACAAGGTTTCGACATTTTTGTAGCTTTAAGATGTGAGAAAATGATAATTGATCTATATATGTTGATAGAGAGCGATTCTAGAAGAGAGAGAGCTTTAGATTTGATGCCGGAGAGAGAGATTCTGACAGAATCTAACTGCGGTGCCAAAGGGAGAGGGCGGTTGTTGTTCATTTGTGCTGGGTAAGGTTAACAGCAGAAGAGAGGCAGCACCGAGGAAAGGCGGTGATAGAACGTGGTAGATGGTTGCGGCACTTTCATAGTTGCTGGTGAGAATGAAACCTTAGACGCCTTGAAGTGGGCGGAGGGAGAGAGCTTCCACCCCTACTTCCATTCCCACCACCACTAACAATTCTCGCCGCCGCCTTACTACTACACGACTCACCTAACTAGATATCTTCAGGTGACACCGCTACCGCATCAGCGGCCTCTGGTACTGTCATTGACTTCCAGAGAGGAAAAAGGAGGCGACGGAGGCGTAGCGGCGACAGAGGCGGTGATCGCGTCGGGAGTAAGGTGGAGAAGGGACGGTGGTTCAAAGAGAGTGTGGAGAGAGAGAGAAAGAGTGCATGTATGTGTATGTGTGTGCGGATTAGGGTTTGGTTCTAGAATGTGAGTTAAACAAAATATATATATATATATATATAGAGGGATAGTTTGGTCATTTTATTGGAATTTATTCTTATGAACAAAAAAAATTAGTCCCTCAACTTGGGAAATTATATTTCCACACTCTTTTATCTCTGTATATATAATTTCTCAATGCACACCCTTATAAAAGTGGTTTTATGTTTTTATTTTCAATCCACACTTCACATGTTCTAATTATACCCTAAACTAACATCCTTGTACACACACCACTTAAACCTGTAGACCCATTTTGTATTCCACTCACCTTGAAAACACAGCAACATCTATCACAAAAAATCCCTCAACAAATCGCTCCATGAATCTTCAAATTATATAACAAAATACCTCATTTGATTTCCAGTTACATCATCAAACTGATTCATTCAATCAACAATCTAGTCAACATCGAAAAAGTCATTAATTGGCATCGACTTATATCAATATAGATCTTGAAATAGCATCATTCAAACTCCATTGAAAATATACAGCTCCATCTATCTCTTATTTTTCATAAACTTTTTTTTTTTTGAAGCAATTCGATTTTGTTTATTCGGTACTAATTATCCGAATGAAAAAGGTTTATTTGATTTTTAACTTCCGAAACATGTAAAAAATTCTGAACTTGATTCTTGAAATAAATTTGAAAATTCAAAAATTGAGTTTCGGATTTGGTTTATTTTCAAATTCGGAACTTGATTTTTGAATAGAATTAAAAATTTCGGTAGTTGATATCCGAAAAAAGTAACATGTTTCGGCACTGGTTTCCCAAATTAAAATTGTGAAAAAAAAATTGTACAAAAAAACTTACATTTTCATAACTGCTTTTATTGTAACCAAGCATATTGTTATTTGAATTTGAATTTCCATTGATTTGCAACTCTTCCATCACAAAAATCAACAATTATGGTTTATTCTAATGACAAAATAGAGTATAAACTTATAGAGTAAAACAATATGAGAGTATTGCTTTGTAAGCAATAGATGACTATAGAGCGTATAGCAAACAATGATCAATAGAATAAGCGAACAACAATGGAAGAAGTGAGAATCAATGAAGAAACTAGGGTTTATTTATTATTTTTTTTTATACTTAAAATAAGTGCACTGAGATTTTTTTTTATTTTTAAATGATGTGTACAAAAAAAAAAACTTTGATTTATTTTGATGTCCATTATAGTCATTTTACTTTAGGGTAAAATTGTCATTAAAATAATATTTTATTAAGTATGTACACAAAGATAAATAGATGTGTAGAAATAGATTATTCCCTCGACTTTTAGATTAAAAAAATAATTTTAGACTTTTGACTCGAATGCCCTATTTTCAACTATAAAATTACATCACTGTAATTCATTTAAAAAATAAGATTATGAATAATAATCGATTTGATTTGGAGTCGGATTCAGTTAATACCCGATGACATGATATTTAGGATTGTGAAAAATATCACTTAATCCGCTAAAATCATATCGATCCTCATAAATCCGTATCGTTCTATCTGCTCAAGACTAAACTTTAAATTTTATAATCCGTTTTCAAAACTGCTCCGCTCTACTATAATTAATACATATATATTTTTTTAATCTCTAATGAAATATTAAAATAAAAACCAGTGAGAGAAATTTAAAATGTGAAATTTATTACAAATTAATAGTTATATATATAAAAATATTATATAAAATTAATTTATATTATATATATAAAAAATATTATACAATTACTTAATAATTAATTAGAATATTTTTAATCCACAAATCTATCCAAAACCGCTTAAATTGTTATTTGTCAATTTACTAATCAGTCATTTAGATCTTATTTGTTATCTTCTAAAAAAATTAAAAAGTTAAAAAGTCAAAATATCACTATTCTATTTAAATTACATCATTTTATTTAATTTATATCATTTTTCTACCACATCACTTTAAACCCAACCTATACTCAATCTATATTTCATAAAAAATAAAAAAAAACCACTTATTTAGAACGTTAAAATCTATCCAAAACCGCTTAAATTGTTATTTGTCAATTTACTAATCAGTCATTTAGATCTTATTTGTTATCTTTTAAAAAAGCTAAAAAGTTAAAAAGTCAAAATATCACTATTCTATTTAAATTACATTATTTTATTTAACTTATATTACTTTTTTACTACATCACTTTAAAACCAATCCATAATTCATAAAAAATAAAAAAATACACTTATTTTGAACGTTACAACCCACCCCTTAATTTATAACTTTATGCTCAAATCGTCCGAACAACAGCTGACCAAGAGGCATGTCACGTGCATCTCCTGGTAGCACGTGCCTGCACCAGAAACCCCAGCCGGCAAGTCCACATCTCTCTCTCTGTCTGTGGACTTTGGAATTCTGGGTTTGGTTTTTCAGTGCAAATGACTACTGGGTTTTGAATTTTCTTGCTATTTCATCAACTTAGGTTTCGTTAATCGCACAATTTTAGCTCAGATACAGTAAAGATGCATATTATTAAGCGAACTGGATTTTCAATCAAGAATAGATGGTCAAGTTCTCTCAAATCACACAATGGGTTGTGCTGTCTCATGGCTACAAAGTGGGTATCTGATGTGGGTCTTGGTTTTTCATCGATGGCCACAGGGAGGACTTGGGTTCACGATTTTGCAAAAAGGGTATGTGAAAACATCTCATTTCTCTTTTTTGTTTTTCTTGTTTTTTGTTTTGTTTTGTTCCTTCGGTTGACAATTCTTGTTATTTGTTGTTATTATTGATAGACATTCTAAGCTGTTATTACAAACAAATAAATTAGGATAATGCTATACAAACATAATTTGTAAACAAAAAAATTCATACAGATGAAGTGTATCAGTTATAACCATTCAAAATGACCATCACTTCGGTTCATAATTGCAGGAATGTTATTGGCACATCATTCTTATCTTAAATTTTGTATGAAAATTATGTATGGATACCATTTTCGAATAAATTATCCAGAAACAATTCTTGTTATTCATTAACATTTGTGCATTACTGTTTTGTGGATGGCGTGCTTGTAGCCAATCCCCTTTGGATTTTTTTAAAATTTTATTTATTTATTTCTTTTCATTTGTCCGTTCTTGTTTTTTTATTTTTGATGCAGTGCTTGGCTCAATGGTAAGACTTGTCATTAGTGTCTGCCGGTTTGAGTCACGTGAATAGTCTCTCTACAAAATGGGGTAAAACTGTGTATATCTCGACCTTTCTAAACCATGCTTTTTTTCATGCATTGGTTGCCCTTTTTATTGGATTTCTTGAAAACGTTTAGTCTTTAAATTAGGCTCATATTAGACTCCCTTACAGCATCTTCAATCCTTCACTATTTTTTTCGTCTACTTTTATTCCAAATTTGAGTAAAGGCTTGATTTGATATGAACTAGTCCACTCCTTTTATAAAATATTCATCAACTTTTTTATTTTTTTAAAAAATTTATCCTCTTATCCCAAATTTCCCTTTTCATCAAATTTGATGGGAAAAAAAAAAAAAACCATTTCCAATGTTTCATTTTTTTAAAAATTTTAATAAAATTCAAATTTGATGAAGGATTTGAGGAGCTCTCAATTGGAGACGCTCTTACACCACCTCCTTGTGTTATTTCTTGAAATAATATGCAGTTCTTGAAATTGTTGCTCAAGGTGGTTGGTTTATTTGGTTGAAATATAAGTGACAACCATCATGTGCAATCAGGGATTGATGAAAGTGGAAGTAAATTAGTAAGATAAGAAACCAGTCATTTTCCAGGAAATGTAGTCAGATAAGAAGTTTTTTTTAGAACATACTTGGAAATTTACCAAATTTGTGGTCAATTATTGGCTATTATGGCAGAAAAAAAAAAATAAAAAAAAATATTGGCCTTGGCGTACCCATGGCGTACCCACGCTGTACCCATGGCGTACCCGTGGCGTACCCATGCCGTACCCGAATAAGCCAAACGTACCGGACCCTCTTTTGCCGTACCCGGTACGCCTACCGCCGTACCGGTACGCGTACCCGCACCCGGTAAGTACCCGGTACTCGTACGGCACTATTTTTGGAGTACCCGTGCTTCATAGGCTGCATTTCTATAACCACTAATTTTACCCATGCAATTCAAACGTCCTGAGAATGTAACATTAACCAACTATCAAATCTTACTTTTTATTTTCTGAAACGATGATCGGGATAGCTGGAAAGACAGTTTTCTTTTATACTGTTAGTCTCACATCATCCAAAGTTATTTCAAATAACATAGTTTCTTTTTGTAGATGCCTTACTGCCAATTTTAAGTTCATAGTTTTTTTCGCAAGTGTGATTTTCAATATGATCTTCACAGAAATTAAACTTAAGGTACTTTTTTTTTTGGTTTAAAAAAATAAAAATTAAAACTTAAAATAATTTTTTGATAACGACGTGGCTGCAGGTGGTGCTGAAGCCTGGTTGTAGGAGATCATATAATGCTAATGACTGTATTACTAAGGTGGACAGATCCATTCTTGTTTACTTCCATGTTCTAAAGCTCATACCTCACTGGGCATTGATAACTTTTTTCTTTATATTATGCAGGAGGTGCTTGCAGCTGCTGGTTAGTATATATATTACTTAAGTTCATATTATTAATTACTATTTTTTTATGTTAGGCCCTGTTCGGAAGTAATAGATTTAGCCTAAAAGTCAAAAAGTTACTAAAAAAATTAAAAATCCTATAATTTATACCAAAAAGTCAAAGGCTATGTTTGGTTAGCCTCTCTAAATATATTTCCACCCTATGTTTTGCACATGGCGTTTGTTTAGAGTTTTCAAAATATAATTCCACACTCAGTTTTGAAAACTCTGTCAAAGGCGGGAAAATTTGGGCTAATCGGTTGTTCCACCGGACGTTCGAAAAAAATATTTTCCGAATAATATTTTTTTTTATGTGTTTTAATAGAATTTTGAGTTGTATGTTTGGTTATGACTTGTAAGTTTTTGTATCAAATATTATATGTCACATCAAAAATTCCCCACTCAATTCAAAACTCTTTCACCAAACAAATTTTCCACACTGAAATCATAATTCCAAAACTCACAAACTCAAAATACAACTCCTACTCTCAAATCATAGTTAGAAAGCTCTACCAAACGCAACCAAAGTTTTCCTTTTCTCTCTACTTTTTGCACATTTTTTCGTAAAAAACCAAAAAGTCATTCTAAATATACAAGTTTTTTTTTACCTCATATTTTAGCCAAAAAACCAAAAAGTTACTAAAATAGCTTGTTCTCAAACGAAGCCTTAGTCTATAAGCATTATAACCATCTTTGTTGGTAACATAAAATATTATTTCGCATGAGATTTATGTCTTGTAAACTTATTAAGACTATTATTCTATAAGTTCCAGTTTGCAAATTGTTCCTATGCTTTGGGACTTGTAGTCCATATTGTGTGTTGAGAAGTACCCTGTATTGGTTTATTGTTGCACCTGAGTAAACACCTCCCAACAATTCGTATATGTTATCTTTTCATTACTCAAGTGAAATAAATTAAAAACACAGTATCAGATGGTTTTATTGTCCTCTAGATAATGATTTCTTGATATTTATTGGGATTAACTGTTACAAATGTGATTCTTGGTGATAAATTAATGGCCTAGGAAGTAAAAAGCTTGTTTATCATCTTTGTTGAGCTAATATTATATTGCCAATTCTTATGGAAAAAAAATGTTACATTATCAATTCAATAACTTGTTTTATCCTTAAATATTCCCTTACTAAGGCATGTTTAGCTACTCAGGGAGGATTATTCCACCAGGCAAGGGCAGAACTACTTGTGTGGAAAGGGGTGCCTTGTCACCCCCCACTTTGATAGAAACTCCATAGATATATTACATTTACTATACACTAAACATAGATCTCTCCCGATTTCAATAATTGTATGAACATGGTGGTCCCTATTCCCACTGTTATTCCCAACGTTATTAAGGTTGTGTGGTTGAAATTTGTTAGTTTATTAATTTGATTCTTTCATAATTGTATGTAGACTTAATTGGATTCTTTCATAATTGTATGTAGACACCTTGTGGTTGAAAATGTTTCTTGTTTTCTAGGAACAAAAATGGAAAACACTAAACGCATCCAAATGATCCCCTAAATTAGCTTGCTTATATGTTGTGGCCTTGGATGTTTTTTTTCTTCTTGGGAGGGTTAGTGTTGTAGAATGTTCTCCTTATGACACACATGGTTGCTGATTTGCATGTTATACAGGAAAGAAGGCCTCTTCCACTTCAAGAGGTCAGGGTATGTTTTTGGTGACAGTACATTATTATTGATGAACCTTGATTCGCTATGGAATCTAAAGATTGGAGATACATAGGAGTAAGAATATTGGATATGCAAATTTAGTATAGGAATATGACCACGAAACGAACAATATAGGAATAAAAATGAGGAATAATGGAAATATTTCATTGGGCCATGTGCAAAGACCAATAGTGCACTACTAAAGATTGCTTTTATTGAAATTGGATACTTTGCAAGGATGAGAAGAGGGTTAAAAAAAAAAAAAAAACGAAGACATGATGCCCTTCGACTAGATGGATGATATCACCTTGTATAGACCTAAAAAGTGTGAATGAAGAAGATTCATGTAGCTAACCCTATGCACTATTAAATTTAATGTTTTTTTTCCCCCCAGTTGAAATAATGTAAGAATCACTTTGCAATTGGTGAGTCTGGAGGACCATGTTTGAAGGCCAGAAGTATGGAATGATACTATAAAGGCTGGTAAGGCAGTCTAGTCGCTGTTAGAATGAATTGTACCATAGCAACTTCTGATAGCATAAAAAACTGGAGTGAACATCTATGGAACCCTCAAATCAATACATGGGAAAGGAAAGGGTTTTTGGTACATGTAGGAAAGCTAGTTGTGTTTGGTTCCCAAAATGATACTGACTTCATTAATAGATATAGTGATCCACATGTGAAAGGGGAAGGAATACAATTTTGCAGTTTGTGTAGTTGATTTTGTTTCTTTCCATTTCTTGAGTGATGTTTTTATTTTGGCAGGAACACCTGTTCTGTTTAGAGGGCAGCGGAATAGAAATGGTCTGGTGAGATTTCAGTCATCATTCCAACTTATTGGAAGTCATGGAGCCAACATGAAAGGTCCTTGCTTTGCTAGAGCCTTTGCATCAACTGCTTCAGAACAAGAGAGACGGAATTCTTCAGAGGTTTGAGATTGAATTTGGAGTTTATTTAGATTGATTATTTTAATTTTATGTATTTGTTGGTGGGAAGCTGGAACTCTGCACACAACCTGTGTTTTTTCACTTTCCATCACTGCTGTCTCTCTCTGTTTATTTATGTGGGAAAGTAACTCCTTGATATGCTTCATAATTGAGATTTTAATAAAGTTTTGAACTGGTCAGTTCTGGTTCAGCTTCACCTTTGCCCAGAATGGAACCATCCATGAATAGCTCAATTTATTTCAGTTTCAGCTTTCCATTAGAAAATTAGTTAACTAAGTAGATAATGAAGCAATCATGGATTGATTGAATAATCCACTTTACTTGGTCTTTACGATCACTATGTCTTGCTGACCTTCAGAACAATCAAGTTTTTCACTTGTATTGGCAAGTATATCACCAGCCATACATTTTATTCAATTTGCTAGAAGATAGCTATTAATTGTAAATTTGTAATGATCATTTGGTTAAGATTATACATATGTTGCATGGACTATTCTTATTTGTGAAGGACCTGTGTGGGACACTTGACTTGGATTTGTGCACGGGACACGTGCATCCAATGAATGTTTTTAATAGTAGAGTTTACTATGGAACTATGTACGAACTATGTATTGTCATTCTGTCCATAAAAAGCTCTATGTTAGTTTGTAAACACTATTTTACCCTAAATAATTGAAAGAAATATTCATGTAATATGAAATGTAACCATTTCCCGGTGTTCTTGGGCAAGAGAATTAGATGAATCTGACACACATCCGGCACCTGTACCTGTGTCCATGTAAAACAGGATCAGACCTTTTTCAGGTTCAAATTCAATGGTTCTAAGGTCACTGCACTGCTAATTATTGGTGAAGCTCTTATCCACATTTAACTATATTTTATATGCTTGAATTTTGTCATCATTGCTTCACAATTTATGCTTTAGTCAAGCGCCTCCTTTCTCTCCTGCCTTTAACAGACTAGAAAAGACATTTCAACAGTTGAGGATCCCTTTGATGCTCCCACATACAACATCCCAGAGAAGCCCGTGACATTTACAGAGGGAGCTTCCTATAGCATTATCATTCTGGCAGGGCTTGGAATTGCTGCAGCAGCAGGATATGGTGTTTTCAAAGAGCTTATATTCCAACCAAAAGAGTAAGACTTAGCATTTAAGTTGAGACTATGTTTTATGGTTAGAACCTTGGGATTGAGGATGTGTGTTTCTTTTCTATTTCATTAGACTAATGTGTGTGTATATTGTAAAATTTTTGAATAGCTTTCTGTATCTCATATATTCAATGTGTATTAATTACAATCAGACCTTAGAATATATATAGCCCTAACTCCTAAACCAAAAAGGAAATACAAATACAATACTATCATGACTCTAATACAATCATGCCTCTAATAGGACTCTTAAGTTTAATTTGTAATACTCACAATATATTTCACAATATATTCTCATACCCCCGCTCAAACTCAAGGTGTTTTAGTAGAAAACACGGAGAGTTTGCTAAGAAGAAACTGAAACCGAAGAGTAGTGTGAGTCTTGGTGAAGAAGTCCGCAAGTTGCAAAGCTGAAGGGATGAAAGGAAGTGAGATAGAGGCAGACTGCAGATGTTGGCGAACAAAGTGACAATCAATCTCAATGTGTTTTGTCCGCTCATGGAAGACAGTATTGTGGGCAATCTGAACAGCACTGCGGTTGTCACAATAGAGAGAGGTCGGAGAAGACTGAGAGACACCCAAATCAGACAAAAGACAACGAAGCCAAACAATCTCAATAGTGGCATAAGCTATAGCACGATACTCAGCTTCGGCAGTAGAGCGGGCAACGACTGATTGTTTCTTACTTTTCCAAGAGATCAATGAATCACCAAGAAACATACAGAAACCAGACGTAGACTTGCGATCAGTAACATCACCAGCCCAATCAGAGTCAGCATAGCAAAACTGAGCCGCGACGAAGCACGGGCTGAAGCTGATCTCGAGTTTGCTGATGATGACTGAAGACGCGACCCACGAACCAAAGAGACCCACGAACCCTAAGTCGCGACTGTAAAGAAGACCAAAGAATAGAGATGACTTCGAACAATCGGCGACAACTTCGAACAACAGGCGTGGACTTAGGGTTTCGAACAAGGCTTTGATACCATGCAAGATTTCTGAATAGCTTTCTGTATCTCATATATTCAATGTGTATCAATTACAATCAGACCTTAGAATATATATAGCCCTAACTCCTAAACCAAAAAGGAAATACAAATACAATACTATCATGACTCTAATACAATCATGCCTCTAATAGGACTCTTAAGTTTAATTTGTAATACTCACAATATATTTCACAATATATTCTCACACCCCCACTCAAACTCAAGGTGTTTTAGCAGAAAACACGGAGAGTTTGCTAAGAAGAAATTGAAACCGAGGAGTAGTGTGAGTCTTGGTGAAGAAGTCCGCAAGTTGCAAAGCTGAAGGGATGAAAGGAAGCGAGATAGAGGCAGACTGCAGATGTTGGCGAACAAAGTGACAATCAATCTCAATGTGTTTTGTCCGCTCATGGAAGACAGTATTGTGGGCAATCTGAATAGCACTGCGGTTGTCACAATAGAGAGAGGTCGGAGAAGACTGAGAGACACCAAAATCAGACAAAAGACAACGAAGCCAAACAATCTCAGCAGTGGCATGAGCCATAGCACGATGCTCAGCTTCGACAGTAGAGCGGGCAACGACTGATTGTTTCTTACTTTTCCAAGAGATCAATGAATCACCAAGAAACATACAGAAACCAGACGTAGACTTGCGATCAGTAACATCACCAGCCCAATCAGAGTCAGCATAGGCCATCAAGTCCAAAGAGAAAGTAGAGGACAATAGTAAGCCTTGAAATATGATACCCTTGAGATAGCGAAGAATGCGAACCAAAGCAGCCCAATGGGTAGAGCGAGGAGTAGAAACGAACTGACTAACCATATTAACATCATAAGCAAGATCAAGGCGCGTGACCATAAGATAAACTAAACAACCCACAAGCTTGCGATATAAAGTAGGATTATCCAGAGGGACACCATCAGTAGAATTAAGCTTCACATTAAGCTCAATAGGTGTATCAGAAATCTTAGTATCGGTAAGACCAGCACGGCGAATGACTTCATTAGCATACTTAGCCTGAGACAGAAAATAGTCTTTTGGAGAAGAAGCAACCTCAATACCAAGAAAATACCGTAATGGACCCAGATCTTTCATTTCGAAGGTGCGGAAGAGATGCTGTTTGACCTCAGAGATAACAGAAGATTCAGAGCCAGTGATGATCATATCATCCACATAGAGTAAGAGAGCAATAAAACCAGCCGATGTATGTCTCAGAAATAAAGCAGAGTCGGAAGCAGAACAATGTAACCCAAGCTCAGTAATAGCAGTCTGAAAGCGATCATACCAAGCACGAGGAGACTACTTCAGACCATACAGAATACGCCGAAGACGACAAACTTGGCCAGAGGAATGGGGAAGACCAGGAGGAGGACGCATGTAAACCTCCTCAGTGAGATAGCCATTAAGAAGAGCATTCTTAACATCCATCTGATAAAGAGGCTAAGAACGAATAGCAGCGACAAAGATCAAAGTACGGACAGTAGTCATCTTGGCAACAGGAGCAAATGTTTCCTCATAATCAATACCATACTCCTGAGAGAAACCTTTGGCAAACAAACGAGCTTTGTAGCGTTCAAGAGACCCATCAGAATGAGTCTTGACTTTGTAGACCTATTTGCAACCAACCAAGTTCTTACTAGCAGGCAAAGGAACCAGCTCCCAAGTACTAGTTTTCTGTAGAGCAGACAACTCATCTTCCATAGCGTGAACCCAATGAGGGTCCTGACATGCCTCTTTGTAAGACTGAGGTTTTGAAAAAGAGTGAATAGCAGACAAAAAAGTACGATAGGAAGCAGAAAAATATGTATTAGACCAACCTAACCTGTTTGGAGGATGACGTGCTCGAGTAGGATATCGGTGTGCAATAGGATTAGAGTTGGCAGCAGCAGGAGGATCAGCAGTAGGGGTAGAGACAACCGGTGGAGGAGGAGCCTTGCGACGAGAATAAACTAACAACGGAGGAGGAGAACAAACTGAAGGAGGAGAAGCAGCCAAAGGTGAAGCAGGAGGAGAAGATAAAACAAGCTCAGGAGGAACTGTGGAGATGTACTCATCAGACGGTACCTCAGAAGGAAATGGATCAATGTGAACCAAATCTTCTTTGGAAACTGGAGCAGTGACAGGAGGAAGCTAAAAGTAAGGCAGACGTTCGAGAAAAGAAACATGACGGGAGACATAAAGACGATGGGAAACAGGGTCGTAACACCGATAGCCTTTCTGAATAGGACTATAACCCAAAAAGACATAGAGGACAGACCGCGCACTAAGCTTGGTCCTATCTTTGCGGGGAAGAAGGACAAAACAGGCAGACCCAAACACACGAGGGAGGGAGTAGTTAAGAAGTTAGGAGAACAAAGCCTCATAAGGAGACCGACTAGAAAGAATGGGAATAGGCATGCGATTGAGAAGAAAAGCAGTAGTAAGAACTGTCTCCCCCCAGAATGGAGCCGGAACTGAGGCAGAGAGAAAAAGAGACCTAGCTGTTTCAAGGAGATGACGGTGTTTACGCTCAGCGCGACCATTTTGGGCAGGTGTATTTGTACAGGAAGTTTGGTAAATGATACCCAAATTGCCCAAATACTTACAAAACTCAGCTTTAAAATATTCCCCACCCAAGTCAGACCGTAACACTTTAATGGTAGACCCAAATTGTGTAGTAATCATAGACTGAAAGGTACGGTATATCTGATAGAAATCAGATTTATGAGTCATAACATAAACCCAAGTGTAACGGGTGCAGTCATCAACAAATGATACATAGTATGCAGAACCCCCTTTGGTGAGAACAGAAGAAGAGTCCCAAACATCAGTATGAACTAAAGAAAATGGTGTATCAGATATAGAAGTGCTTTTACGAAAAGGTAAGGCTGTCATCTTGGCGAGTTTACACCCCTGACATTCAGTAAGTTCACTAGGAGAAACTTTTCCCAAGATACTTGATTGAGCCAAAGACCGTAAGCGGTCAGCAGACAAATGTCCTAATATAGAATGCCACAAGTAGAAAGGACTGGACAGAGAATCTAACTGAAAAGAGGAAAAGGCAGTCGGAGAGGTTGTCAAAGGCAGATGCAAGCTCTCTACCACATAGAGGTCTCCAACTCTACGACCAGTCCCAATCTGCTGTTTAGACATCCGATTCTGCATAAAACAAATAGAAGAGGAAAAGATAACATCAAAACCAGAGGTATCAAGCTGACTGATAGATAATAAACTGACAGATAATTAAGGAATATAAAGAACAGATGGAATAGAGACAACAGACATAGCAGACGGTAGGACAAACCCAACAGATATAACAGACATACCAGACCCATTAGTAGCATTGACAGTAATAAGAAGAGGAGGAGGAGTGCAATTTTGAAGTAGGGAGAGATGGGGAGTCATATGATGAGAGGCACCAGAGTTAAAAAGCCAGGCAGACGAAGAAATACCTGAAGAAGACCCAAGCAAACCTGAATGAAAAGAGGAAACAACGGAGGCAGATGGAGATGGCTAGGAGGGAGACAATATATGTTGAAGTTGATTATTCTGAGCAGTCAAGGAAGGCAAGTCAGGATCAGGAGCTGGAGCAGATGTAGTAGAACCGGCGGGAGGCCGAACAGTACTCAGAGGAGGAGCGCAGAACTTGATCGAAAATAGCTGAGAAGACAAGGTAGACACAGGCAAAGCAGACAAACATCCTTCTTGGGATAGTGGTACTTCCAATGGCCCTTCTAATGGCAGAAGGCACACTCATCAAAAGCCAGAGACATTGTAATAACCAGAAAATTGAGGGGTTTCCAATGCAATCAAACAAAGTAACCAAACCAGGGGTTCAAGTGTAATAATCAAAATGCGAGGGGTCAAAATATATTCAATTTTTATTTTTTTTTTAACGCCAAATAACAGGGCTTAAAGACACGATCTCACACACACACAGACAAACAAAGCAACAAGACAAACCAGTCAATCGAATCAGCCCAACGAACCACGAGGTGTGGTCCATTAGCAGAACCAGAGAAGGAGATAGATCGCGAATCAATCGCGATGCTGAAGCAGACTGAGAGAAGCGACGGAGTGAAAGGTGACGGCTGAGAGAGGCGACGATGACTGAGAAGCAACGATGACTGAGAAAGGCGATGGTTGAAGCGACGATGGCAGCGGCTGAGAGAGGCGACGGTGCTAGGGTTCGCGAAGACTGATTGTGACCTTAGGTTTTCGAACACAGCTCTGATACCATGTAAGATTTCTAAATAGCTTTCTGTATCTCATATATTCAATGTGTATCAATTACAATCAGACCTTAGAATATATATAGCCCTAACTCCTAAACCAAAAAGGAAATACAAATACAATACTATCATGACTCTAATACAATCATGCCTCTAATAGGAAGTTTAATTTGTAAGACTCATAATATATTTCACAACATATTCTCACATATATATGCATGGTTTTGTAGGTACAAGATTTTTGGCAAGGCTCTAGAAAGGGTTCAAAATGACAATCAGGTTTGGTTAAACCAAAATTTCTTCTCAAGCTACTGTTACATAATTGCATTCAAAACTAAATAATCACTAACCATTCATGGATGGCCTAGCCTGAGCGGGAGATACCCTGGGTTATCAAAAAAAAGAGAGGATGTGTGCATACTTAGGAGCTTATTTTTTATTCTTATGGCATTACCTACAAGCCACACCTGGTCCAGGATAAGAAGTGGCTTGTGTGTTTCAAAGAACTAGGTTTTCATCGACTAAGGAGAATCCATACATTCTGTTTGGTTTTGTTTTGTTTTCTTTGTTTTTGTTTTTCATTTTCATTTTTCGTGTTTTTGTAAACAAAACATGAAAAGTTCAAAAAACGTTCATTGTTTTCATTTTTGTGTGAAAATAGTAGTTTTTGATTAAAATCCACTTTTTGGTATTTCCTAAAAATTAGATTGTTTTCAGAAACGTTTTCTAAACAAGCTCTGATGTTTTCTAGAAAATGTAAAAACAACCAGACTCCATGATGTCATCAGTTATTAGTTCTTGTCTTGTGCCCTCCTTTTGTACTGCTATGCGATTTACAGGCTGTTTAAATTAATGAATGTTAGAATTTACCATCACCTACCACCACTACCACCTCACCTACTCCACTAAACCTAACCCACTACAACACTACCACCATCCACTACACACCATCCACTACACCTACATCTATATAAGGAACCATTTGTAATAGACAGAATATGTATCAACACAACAATCTTGTAATACATCAATCAATAATATACTTCAATATTTTTACAATGAACAACATATTTTTTGGCATTTCATATTTCTGCGGATGCTCTGATCACATTTTTTTGGTTCAAGTGGTTTGAATTTGCTCTGCCTTCAGGTTAGTGTGAGGATCGGATCCCCTGTTACAGGCTATGGCCAGGAAAGTAGGAATCGTGCTGCTCGCCAACGGATTCCAAATAGGATATGGAATGACGAAGATGGCGTTGAACATGTCGAGGTAACTTCTTACTGGCATCACAAATTTTATTGTGTAAATTTTAAATAGTGAAAATTACCAATAAGTACTACTTTTCTCACAAGATTACCATTAAAGCCTATCAAATTTCAATTTGGATAACTAGTCTTATTTTTTATAAGTCTTCATGATGGTATGTTTTATTAATTTTTTACCCATTTTCATTAAAATATGAATTACATTGTTGTGACTGATCTAATATTAATAAAATTAAGCCTTTTTGGGTGATGTACCAAATATATTTCTCATATTGTGAGACAATAAAAATGTTATGGATGTTATGCCACGAATCTTTATATGTGATTCTTTATTCTTTATTCTTTTGGTATTAGAATTTGCTTAATTTTTATAATTAAAAAAAATAATTTTTAAATAAATTAAAATCGGTCATAAAAGTGTAATTAATTTTTTTACGAGAAGGCCATACCATTATGGATATTTGAACCTTTTAAAAAAAAAAAATTAGTCAAAAATAAGACTTTGTCCATATTTGAAATTTGATACAACTTGCTAATAATCTTGAGGGAAAAGTAGTACTTATTGGTCATTCTTTCTCTTTTAATTATTGGATAATGCAGAAAATACCCAAATTGCTTACAAAATTTTTGAATTTTTGGTTGAATGAAAACACATTCCACCTTTGAACACCTGCCCCTTCTTCCAACCTCCGAGCCAACCCCGAGTTTGCAAGAAAATAATCTCAGTGAACCTCCAATTATTCATCAACTTTGTGAAGTCAGCTTTTATTATGTCGAATCAGATCTGCAGAAATACCTACTTGATACTTGAATAGAAAACAGTGATCATCTACCTTGATCTGACCAATTGAATAAAACAGGTTAACTTCTATATTCGGGGTCCCCGTGGAGCTGGCAAAGTTTACACGGAGATGTTCAGAGACATGGTGGACAAGCAGTGGAAGTTCACATATTTGATCGTTGAGATCAAATCGCCTTCCCCGGCGCAGTTAATACTTGAGTCTTATGTCCCACCCTGAATCATTTACAAGATTGATCATCGGTTACATGTATGTATATAATGCTTACAACCTTGTCGATTATTATTTTTCTAAAATCTCGCTCCTTCCAGAGGAGCTTGAATGATTTTTGAGTCGAAGTTTTGATTGCCTTACGTGTTGCTGCAAAAAGCAAAAACATGTTTTGAATTTGTTTCTGTTATTTTGGTTTTACTTGGCAGTGGTGGTTGCCCATTTTTTTTTAAGTTAACCAGGAACCATGTCCTTTGGGCCTATCCTAGAAACAAAAACCCGAGGATCAAGAGCCACCTCCAAATTGCTTGATTTGGACAAACAGGACGGGCTGACAAGAGTCTGACCTAAAATTTGGGTTGTTCTTATGTAGAGCATGGATTGAGTTGAGTGATTGTGTTCGTTTCACATGGAAGATCAAATGTAGTTTCATACTTCTCAGATGTTAAATACATGAATTCATTAATGAAAATGCAAAACACACACAAAAAAGTCAATTTGTGGTTCGGATTTATTTTAGGTATGATGGGAGTTGCAGTGAGAATCATAATCACCATGTTTGTTTCTAGTTTTTTAAAAACATTTTTTAAAAAATTTTACTTTCTTGTTTTTTGTATTTTTTTGTTTTTACTGAATTTTTTTAATATTTTAACAATTTTTTTTAATTTTTAGACACACCTAATATAAATACACTTAAAAAAGTATAATTATCGTGAAAAAATATTTAAAAAATTCACTAAATATCAAAAATATATAAAAAATTATGAAAATTCAATATATTTTTCGTATTTTTTTGTATTTATTAATTTTTTAAAATATTTTTCACAAATATTTTACCTTTTAAATACATTTAAGTAAGGTGCATCTAAAAAAGTAAAAAAATACTTAAAATTTTAAAAATATTCACTAAAAATAAAAAAATACGAAAAATAAAAATTCAATTTTCAGAAAATTGAATTCAGAAAACTGAAATTAAACAAACTGAATATATTTCATTTCTATGATTTGTTTTTTCTCAGTAAGTAGCATTACCGAAATGAATTTATTGCAGAATTTTGTCATTAACCACCTCAATTTTCATTCCAGTTTATTGTGAATATGTGTATAAATCATAATACAACCATGTTGCAATTATTATCGTCAAGACTTTTATCATTTTAATCTACTATCTCATGCAATGTAAATGGGAGTGTGGTATTGGAGTTTCTACTTTCTACTATTGAGATTGAAGCTAAGGCAGAATATAACACTACTTTTGGATGGAGTGTTTTGGAGATAAAATATAAATAAATAGGAATAGCTTCTGTCCAGTCTTTAATTGGATTGGATCGTGCTGTTGGATCCTTGGATACTCATCATGGGTCCCGTTTTGATAATCTGAACCGTTCAATGTGTAGAATTCGTCGAGTACTATAAGCTTGTAAAAAATCACGTTGATCGGATATCGATAGCTATGTTGATCAAAACAGATTTTTGTCAACCGTTAATTTATTCACCGTCTATTTTTTTTATACAAAACTGAATTGATCACATAGCTATCGATATCCGATTAACGTGATTTTTTATAAACATATAGTACTCGACGAGTTCTACATATTTACGGTTCAGATTATCAAACAGGATCCATGGTGGACCCCCACGGACCCAACAACATGATCTAATCTGATTAAAGACTGAATAGAAGTCATGCCCTAAATAAATATCCATTTCTTTTTCTGTTTTTTCCCCCCTATAATCACCATTTTTCTCTTCATTTATCTATCAACTTATCCAAATAAGGAGAGATGCAACTATCTTTTCTTTTATCTGAATGCTTTTCTTTTTCCAAATTATACAGCCTAGTTTGGGAAGACTAAATAAATGTATTTTTTGATTTTTTATGAAATATAAGTTGGGTTTGGGTTGGGTTTGAAGTGATGTGTTAGAGAGATGATGTGACTTAAATAAGATGATGTGACTTAAATAGGATAGTGACTTTTTGATTTTTTATCTTTTTTCAATCTTCCCAAACTAAGGATTCATTTGGCAAACTTTACTTTTAATTAAAAAGTTAAAAAGTTACTATACGTTGTCACAGTATATTTTTTATTTTTTTGTATATTTTTTTACAAAAAATTAAAAAATTATTAAAATAATATGTTCCCAAACAAGGTAAGGTTTAGTTTAACTTTTGTAATGATTTTTTGAATTTTTTAATAAAAAAAAATGTGTTTAAATATAAATTTCTTAGTTGCATAGAAAATTGTAATTGACTGTGGCGATGTTTGTAAACTTGGTTTTTGGATTTTTGTTTTTGTTTTTTTTCACTACAAGACAAATATTTTACAAAATCAAAAAAAATAAATTCAAACAAAATATCACATCAAATCCTATAATCATTTCCTTTTTTCTCTTACAAACATTACATCTAACCACAAAAAACCCAACTATTTTTTCATACACAAAATTTTTTTGCTCCAATAATATCTAATAACTAAAAAAAACCTACAAAAAAACTCACTTCTCAAACACCCACTGTGTATGACTTGAACTTTTAGTGACTTTGACTTTTTTTTTTTTTAATTTTAATTAAGGTTTTTGATTTTTTAAACAAAGAATCAAGTTGTCAGATAAGACCTAAAAGAGTTAAACCATTACAGATATCTTTAAAAAAAGAAGCAATAAATTATAAATACATCTCTTAAAATTTGTTTAAAATATAGATTTATTCTTGTAATTTTTAAAAATTACATCTCGCACCTTCAAATTTTCTAATCGTACACATGACATCTTTTATTAAAAAATTATCAAGTAATTAACAGTTTTTAATGATATTAGAATTATATTTTAATTAATAATTTAAATAATTTTATTGTTGTATAGGATAGTAGTTATGAATTTTATTTTTTTGTTAATTTTGTTAAATTTTTTTTAATAAGGGGATATTTGTAATTTTTAGGATCACAAGAAATAATTTGAATTTTAAATAATTTTAGGGCAAATTACATATACACCCCTTGAGGTTTGGCTAAATTACAGATACCCCCCTGAGGTTTGAGAAATTACGAATTCCCCCCTGAATGCTATATTTGCATAAGAAATTAGGGGGTAATTTGTTATGAAATATAAACCTCAGGGGGTAAATTGTTATGAAAATACAAACCTCAGGGGGCGGGATGTAATTTCCGAAACCTCAGGGGGGTATCTGTAATTTAACCAAACCTGGAGAGGTGTATATCTACAAACCTCTCAAGTTTTATCATGTTGATATATATATATATATATATATATATAAGAGAAGCCCAACCCATTGTCTTTTATGTCAATTTAATTTTAGTAGTTGCAATTGTATCAATTTTACCATTAATTTTTTTTTCTTTTTGTATCAATTTAATTGAATTGATAACCTCCATTAAAAAATTAAACAAAAATAAAAAGTAAAATGATCCATTCAAAATAGAATGAACAATTTTAAACTGGAACCAACTCTCAATCACCTTGAGGAGTGAATTAACCATTTTGTCCTTAATTTCAATCCACTGTCTAAAGTAATAGTGGTATCAATTGGATTAAATCGATATAATGTAAAAAATTTAAGGATAAAATTGCTAAACTTAGAATTATAAAGATCAAATCGACACAAGAGATCAACTACAAGTGCAATTTCCCCCTCCCCCCCCAAAAAAAAGAATAAAGTAGTGGCATTTTGTTGCCACTCTCAACAAATCCCAACACAATCTAAATTGATTGTTGTTAAAAAATAGCAACTTGGACTAAAACTAATAAAGGGTGAATTTTCGAGTGTTCCGTTGTGGGTGAAGTTGTATAATGTTCCTTTGGAGCTTTGGACTGAAGAAGGTTTGGGTTACATTGCTAGCATTATGGGAACTCCTCTTTATTTGGATGAGCCTACGTTCAAGAGAAGCAGACTTACGTTTGCGAGAATATGTATTAAAGTGCCAACAAATAAAGAGATCCCTAAGTCTTTCAAAATAAATCCTGGTTATGGTGACTCATATGAGATTCAAGTTGAGGTTCCATAGAAGCCTCAAAGGTGTGATGATTGTAAGACTTTTGGTCATACCACTAATTTGTGTCCTCCGAAAGCAAAGACCTTGAATCCTCCATCTTCCAAACAAGAGTGGAGAGTCAAGGAGACTAACACACAAGTTCCAACCAAATGAAAAGTGGTGAAGAAAAAAGGGAGAGATGGTGGGCAAGGTTCAACGACAGTGATAAACAAAGAGGGAGAGATGCAGCTTTTCACCCCATCAACATCTAATGCTTTTGATGTCCTTGAATCAAGTGATATGGGAGAGTTGGGAAATGGAGAATTAAATCAAGAGTTCTTGTGTCAAACAAAGAGCCTACAAAGTAGAGAGAATTCATCTCCAAGTGATCCCATTAATGAGAAGACTACAAAGGAGGATAACAAAAGAAAACTCAATGTGAAACTTCATTACTTGAAGAGTGCTAGAGGAAAATTTTGAATACTTTGTTGTGTTTGGTGTGTTTGCCGTCTTTAGGCTTAGTTTGTTTCTTTTGAGGAAGTAGTTTATTTCTTTGTTTATGTTTGTTCTCCCTTTTAGGCTTAGTTTGTTTCTTTTGAGGAAGTAGTTTATTTCTTTGTTTATGTTTGTTCTCCCTACAAAGGATGTGTATTGAACTTCATTGTATATCTATTTTTTTGATTATAATATGAGTTACTTATAAAAAAAAAAAGAAAAGAAAAAAGAATCCAAAGACAGATTTACCAACCAATACATAAACTAAAGAAGAAAGAGAGAGCCTGCACTTTTATCTCGAGACTCAACAGTCAAACTCATCAAAAAGTTAGTGCTTCTTTTCATCCCAAAATGCACCAAACGAGGCAAGCAAGAACTACTTCTCATATTTTTGTCTCTCAAACCATTCTCTTGCCAATTTAAGCACAACCAAAAGGAGAAAAAAATGGATATCATATCCCTATGGCAATCATATAATAGAGGAAGAAACTATTGACAACCTCCATTTGATTTTTTAAACAAAGAATCAAGGTGTCAGATAAGACCTATTGTCAGTCATGAAGAACCTCCCCAATGCCATTGCAGAAGCAAAGAATGCCGCGTCACAAGGAACTTAGTTCCTCAAATGCCCAACAAGATAATCGTAGGAATTGAGCAGAGTCATCCCAACCCTAGCCGATCCCTTCCCAAAGACATGCAAAGTTCGAGCTCTTAACATTCATTCAACCATTCTAGGTCAGCTCTATCCATGGTAGATCTCCACAATCAAGTCCTACCATGATGGCACCCAAAAACATGTTTTAAAAACGATATTGAACTTTCATGTTCGTTTGAAGGCCAAAAGAAGTGGAAGATATCGTGTACAAATGCTAAAACAGTAAATAATTCATGACAATAAAGCATATGCAAGTCGAGATTTGTTAGTACAATGGTAATACAAATGCAACAATACTGATTACTACTACAGGCCAAAATATAGCAACATTATAAAATCCAATTTAAATCATGATATGCTGTATTTAGCCCCCACATCAATAGATCTGGGCTAGATAGAGTGTTTTGGCAAGCTAAAGAGCAGTAGCAACAATAAGAATGTAAAGAATAGTGAGCCAAAATCGTGTCTAGTTCTTTTTATCCTCATAGATGCTGTAACAGTGAAAAAATGGGACAGAACAGTAGTGTAACAGCCGTTGCTGATTTTTGTTATTTTATTTTTACCGACAAACACTACAGTGTATCGGGACCTCTAAGTCAGTTATGTAACTGCCATTACATTTCGTAACGATTGTTTTAAAAACCTTGGACTGTCGTGAATCTCAAAAACTCCACTATTCTTAAGTCTAAATATGCACACGACTTCAATTGTTACCAAACTACTCTCCTAGATTCCCAAAACATACCCGTGTACACCTTTGAAGTAAAAACCTCTCCTAGATTACACAAACTTTAAATACGGGCACGTGTACATGCACCATTCGAGTAAGAACCTCTTCCAGGCTCCCCGAAATGTAAATGCTGCTGCGTTTACATGCACCCTTCAAATAAAAACAAAGTACAAAATCATCGACATTGTCAGCTGCCAAGATAATGTATCCAGAAAGAATAATTCATCATTTCTGTTTATAGACATCAATAACAAAAACAGGAAAAAGTACTTCATTAATGATGACAATTCAAGCTCAGTAGATAATGGTAGATAACTAAATCAGATTGAAGATCTTACACGTAAATGCCTCACATTATTTCTTCAATTGAAAACCAGACAACAATTTTGTCACAGAAATAGCTTTTTCAAGTAACTAATCAAAATGGGCATTCTCAACTTTGCACCACAACAATTTGCATACCAACAACATAACTCTTGAACTGACTTCTCAGCATGTTAAACAATCAAGCAGCAAATCATCATGAAGTAACAAGATAAAGGATTTAAAAATTAAAAAAAAACCTCTATTAAGTAAATAGATAATTCATATGTACATCTGAAACTGCTTATAGAAACTAAAATGATAAGCCTTTTCAGTCAAATTTGTTAGGCTCATCAAAAAAAAAAAAGATTAAACAAAAAAAAAAACCATAAACAAGATTCACTTATTTCTCCTTCCATCTGATTTTGGTTGATTATACCTTTGAATGAGGTCACAAAATTTGGAAGTCACATCACAAGCCTTCAAACTTTTACATCTATCAACTAACCCTGCAATCAAAGCATAATCTTATTACTAAACCCACAAATTAAACATCCAATTATCAATGTTCAAAACTAAAATTCAGATGAAAGAAATTATACCTTTAAAGGAGCTTCAGAAACTTTGTAACAGTCAGGGGTTATCGAGGCCAACCACAGACCTGGAAACAGATTCTGCACACAAAAAAAAGAACAAAAAAGATGAATTCAATGCATTAGTTACCATTCAAAATTCATAATAATCCACTCAATAATCAATAACCACATAGAATGATGAATTCTTACATCGATTTGCTTTTGAATAATCTTCGCTCTCTTCTTCGGCCTCCTTGCGGGTTTTGATCCACTCATCGAAAAGATATCCTCTTCAATTTCTTGCCGAGAAAGCGAAATCGAGAACTTCTGCTTCTTCTTCTTCTCCTCCTTCTCTGATACCTCTGCTTCAGGACCGCTTCGCAACCAAATCGATTCGGGTCGATTCGATGTCACCGGTTGCAATTGAGCTTTGTTCTCCGGCAATGGAACTTTCGATGACCCTCCATTCGCATTCGGTAGCTTCGCAATAGGCTTTCTAGGCCTCAAATTCCACGTCTTTGCCACCGATTCTTCCACTTCTCCTCCTTCTGTACCTGTTTTCCCTTCTTCTTGAACATCATCGACCTTGTTTTTCGTTCTGAGCCGAATATAGATCTTCGATCTGACTCCATCAACCTCCGATACCGCCGATTTTTTCTCCGATTTCTCGATTATGTGATCAGAAGAGGAGACCACGAAGCCGTTCTTGACAATTTCAGGAGCCGATTTTCTCCGATTCTCAGAAACGTACCCCGATTCCGACTCGGAGGCAGAGTCACGCATTGGAGACGGCCGCCGTAGCGGAGATTGTCGAGGCGGCGCTGTATCAAACGGCGGAGAATGGCGGAAAGCGGAATCCGGCGGCGGCGGAGGAGGAGATGATTCGGAGAGGCGGCGGCCGCGATGGAGATTGTTTGTGTGGTTCTTCGGCCATTTTAAGAGAGGTAATGAGAAGTTGTGGAGAGGTTGGGACTTGGCTGGAACAACAGGTGAGGAGGCCATGGAGTTTCTTCTCTTCAAAGTCTCCGATTCAGAGTCCAAACGAAACAACATATATATATATATATATATAACACTGAAATTTTGAGAATTCACTCAGATCAAACGCTCGAAACAGTGGAATTTGTGCAAGTTTTGTCTCACGTCGATTGTAGAGATATTTCTTCTCTGATCTTCGATCGTCCACGAAGCTTCATTGGTCACAATCTAACCCTGAAAAACACGAAGCTTCGATGAAGTGCTTCTCTCTCTCTCTCTCTATAGTAGATTGATTAATATATATGTATGTATATGTGATTCTTAATGGTGTGAAGCTTGAACGGAGACAATGAAAACCCCAAAACAACCACAGAGAGAGAGAGAGAGAGAGAGAGAGAGAGAGAGATGGCTGGAGGAGGTGAAGAAGTGAAGAGAGAGAGAGAGAGAGAGAGAGAGAGAGGCTTCTGGTGAATATGAGAAGAAGAGGGTTACCAGCTGAGACTCTCTCTTAAATGAAAACAGAGTTTTTTTTTGTTTTTTTGTTTTCCTATTTTACCCTTTTATTATATATATATATATATATATAATAGACATATAAAAATTGATGTGTAACCCCAAATTTATTTTATTTTTGTGTAAACAGTTTGTTTGACTAAATTTTTTGTTAGGGTTTCACATGTCCGTCAGTTTACAATTTTGTTTTTCTTAACAATACAAAATTTTATTTTTCAAAAACAGAGCGCTATGTTTTGACTTCTTTAAAAAAATTATGACAATTTTTGTACATGGCTGAAATATCTATGAATAATCATGGTTTTTGATAGTTTTTTTTGTTCTGAAATTTGCTCGTTTCACATTCTCCGATATATATATATATATATATATATTTTGATATCCAGAACACTCTTAAGGCAGGATTCTTAGAATTTATCTTTACAAGTCAAACTGGAGGAAGTAAGTCGATCCACCTAAACCGTCAGACTTCTACTTGAGTAGTAGGGGATTCAAACTCTGGTCAATAAGGAGAGGAGCATACTCTCTTACCAACTAGTATACTCTCTTATCAACTAGAATGATCCCTTCGTGATAAACTTTTGGATATTTTAACACTTAAATTGTCACTCATTTTCTTATTTTTTCGATAACAGGGTTCATTATGTTTGTGGCATCAAAATAGATAGGTGAGGAATGAAAGAGAGAGAATATATGAGACCTAAATGAGAATAGATGGGCGAAAGGTGTCATGCCATAGAGTAAGGAAAAAAAAGAGCAATAAATTTGGTTACAAAGAAGAAAACAAATTCACTTATTAATCTTGTTGTAATTATTGTTGTAATTATTAGTTAATTTGCAATTTTATATGTTTTATTTGTAGTCTCTAGTTATATATTTGGCTACGAGTTGATTTTAATTTTGGGGAATTTGATGATAGACCCCTTCGTATCTAACTCATCCTTCAAAATGACAAGAATTATATAGATTCTTTCAAAATTTCATAGTATTTTAAAACTTATTTATTTTATTATAATACCCTCATATATATATATATATGTGTGTGTGTGTGTGTGCATATTAGATTTGCAATCTCTCTCTCATCTCTCTGTCTCGCTCATGTCATTGTTGCTCTTTATCTATTCCTTCCCTACTCTCTATCAATACCACCACTGCTCACTATGGAACTTTTTCCCTACCATCTACCATCACTCGTCGCATCTACAACTTCAGATCTGAGATCATTCACAGTCGTTGTTGTTGAAAAATAAAGATTTGCGATAGTTTACAAACATCAAATCTGAGATCCTTCACTTTCTTTCTCTCTCTTTGATTTTGATGGTTTGTGCTCTCTTTCTCTCTCTCTCTGTGTCACTCACCATTTATGCTTTTCTTTTTCTTCTTCTTCTTCTTCTTCTTCTTCTTCTATTTTTGAACTCTATCTCTCTATCTCTCTTTCTTCTCCTCGTGATGCTTTGTTCTTCCAACAGTAAAATTTTACTCTGATCCATGACACAACACTCTCATGTAAAGCTATCATCGCAGCTTGTTTCAAAGTAAAATTTTACTTTGAACTATAGTAAACTTTACATTGATTCAGAGTAAAATTTTACTTTGTAATAAAAAAAATGAGTAAAATTTTACTCTGATCAGAGTAAAATTTACTATGATTCAAAGTAAAATTTTACTATCGTTAAGCAGATCATCATATTGTTAACTAGAGTAAAATTTTACTGTTACAAAAATAGAGTGCATACTAAATGAATGAACTAGAGTCAAATTTTACTTTTAAATCTATGAACTAACAAGCAAAAAAACTCATGACTTTTCATTGCAATATCTCGATTTTTCATTTTTCTGTCAAATCTAGGTTTTTTTTTTTTAATCTCAGATCTAAAGTTATTAATTTCAAATATGAGTTCGTAGGTATCAAATCTGAGATGGTGGTGGTTTGACGATAAAAATGGTGGTTGCCGACCGATGGTGAGAATGTGTGACGCCGATAGATGATGAAGATGATGGAAACAATGAATAACCATAGAGTTAGTAAAGAGAGTGCTGTAAAATAAGGAGATGGTATAATAGTCAATGTGGGAGCCGAATATATGGAAAAGACAGAAGGTGCGCACTTTAGAAGCCTGATATTAATCGGCTGTATCCTACGAGAATAGGGGGCCGAATATAATATAGGGGCTGAATATAATATAAGGGCCGAATAAGTATAGACCCTTGGAGCCGAATAAGAGAAGGGACAATAATTAAAAAGTGGGCTCTGACCCCGAGGCGCAGAAGAAACAGGTATAAATACAGGAATAGCGAACTTGGAAAGGTATGTAACAATCACTTTGCTTAAACTTAGAGGACAAGCGATCTTGAGCAGAAGGACTGACTTGTCCGTCAGAGTGCTAATTCCCGTACTCCCGATCGGAGTATTTGTGTCCTTTTAGGTGACTAGCTGAGGACCATTGGCGTCTCCCAAGATCAGAAGAGTATTTGCAAATCACTTCTCCACAATTGGCGCCGTCTGTGGGAAATACTCAAATACATCCATGGTAGGCGTGACTGAAGATCCTCCGATAGCCACCAACAAGACCACACAGAGAGATGACCTCACTCTAGCAAATATGCTCGAAAAGGAAACCATCGCTGCAAGACGCGCTTTGAACTTCGATTCACTAACGACTTTAGCGCAAGAGACAATGCAAACGATCATGGAACAAGCAAAGCAGAGCGAACAAATGCTGGAGAACATGATCGCTGAAAACGAACGTCTCCGTCAAGATTTGGCCTTGGAGGTAGCAAAATCCAAAGAAGCCGTGCGCCAAGATCCCGAACGTCCTCTGAAGGTAGGCAGACAACGACCTCGAGCTCGACCAAGGGATACCGACAGCGACTCCAACTCACTACCTACGGAGCTCAACAAGAAGGGACGATCCGAAACTTCCAGCTCCTCCGAAAAGAGTCTACGTACAAGGAACAAGCGCAGAAAAAGCAGTTCAGACGAAGACGACCAGCATGATCCTTTTGTCCGACAGATTACAAGGGCGGCCCTGCCCAAGAAGTTCAAAGCTCCGTCATTCACCCTCTACGACGGAAAATCAGACCCCACTGATCATATCCGTCACTACAAGTAGGCCATGACGTTGCATACAGACAACGAGGCCCTCATGTGCCGAATATTCCCCAGCAGCCTGGGACCATTAGCTGTCAGGTGGTATTACAAGCTAGAGCCGGCTTCGATCAAAAGCTTCCATTAATTACAGAAATCCTTCAGGGCTAGGTTCATCACCAACGAGGTACAACCAAAACAGGCCGACTCTTTCTAGGCTATGTAGATCCAGTCAGGAGAAACGCTTAGAGCATATTAGGCGCGCTATTGGGAGTTCTTCAATCTCGTTGGCGACGCTTACAACGACTCCATGGCCATTACTGCTTTCAAAATGGGACTACATCCTGACAGCGCTCTTCGCAGTTCCCTGACCAGAAGACCCTCCAAAACAGTCTGGGCGTTGATGAAGAAAGTTGAAGAGTATTGCAAGGTGGAAGATGACGCCTTGAGAATTAAGGCCGGACAAATGTCCAACAAAACGGCGCCCTTGAAATTGCTCAACCAATAAGTTCTGTGCCATCTCCGAGCCCTGAGCCACGACAACACGCTAAACGAGACAAAAGGCGGGACTCTCGCTGATCAAGCGATCAATGCTCCCACCAGACGAATGAACAACTGCAGGTCGACAGCAGGCGCTCGAGGCGTGTCGACAAGAAGTACACAGAATTGTCAGAACCAGTCACTACGATAATGACCAAAGTCCAACACCTTTCATTCTTAAAATGGTCGTCGAAGATGGTGGAGCATCCCGACACGCGAAGAAGGGACAGGTGGTGCGAGTACCACAACGATCATGGCCACGAAACTGAGAATTATTACGCATTAAAGGATCACCTAGAAGAACTGGTGCAGGACGGCCGACTGCAACAGTTTGTGAGAAAGGGCCAGCCAATCAAGGCACTAGCCTTGAGGCAGGACTCACCCCCACTTGGCATAATCCATATGATCTACAGCCTGCCAGCATCCCCAACTATGCACACAATTCATTCGCATCCAATCCCCCAAAAGCAACATATTCCGACCGAGTGGCCCAGAGAAGCTCCGATGATTACTTTCAATGACTCCGATCTTAGTGGCGCAACAACCTCCCACATCGATCCGATGGTCATCAAATTACGCGTAAATCAGTTCACCATTGAGCGCATTCTCATAGACCCAAGGAGTACTTCAGAGGTTATGTATTACGAGACTTTCATTAAACTCGACCTTAACAAGTCAGATCTGTCTCCGGCACCTCACCCATTGTTCAGCTTTAATACGAATCCTGAGTACCCGTTAGGGAAGATCACACTACCTGTTCTAGCGGGCTCCAGAACAGTCGAAGTAAAATTCCTGGTCGTAAAGCTCCCTTCGCCGTATAACGTCATCATGGAGCGAACCTGGTTACATATTATGAAGGCCGTTCCAAGCACTTATCATCAGCTTGTACGCTTCCCTACAGCCCACGGCATTGAAAAAATCCGCAGCTTCCGGCAATCGGCACAAGCAGCGATTTTATGAAAACATTATCACTGACCTGACCTGTGGGCTTTGATACTTATATATATTTCATTTTTGCAATGCAAATCATTTTTCTTGGTCGCACAAATCCATTGTAGCGCTCGTCATGTCGCCGATTTAAAACCCCCTTTGGCCCATGACACCATAGGGCCGATTAAGCCTCCGGATTCGGAGCGCTCTTCGTGGATATCACTATTGGCAGAATTAAGTCTCCGGATTCAGAGCGCCCTTTGTGGATATCACGATTGGCCGAATTAAGTCTCCAGATTCAGAGCGTCCTTCGTGGATATCACGATTGGCCAAATCAAGTCTCCGGATTCGGAGCCCCTTTTGGTGCATGACACCTTAGGGCCGATTAA